TTTGACACACCTCGTCACTTTTTGAATGTTGTAAGAACTCACCAGGAAGGTGACATTTCAAGTAGCGATTACTATGCTGATCCAGATGGATCGATCCCATGAAATCAATGAACTCCGAAGAGTGTCGCACAACTTTTGGACGAGTTTCTGTTATCACATGCATCTGAAATTAGTACAATCGCATATACGGTCGTTTTCGCTGCGGATACTGGGGCGTGTCAGGAGGCCAGGTTTGGTGCGGCGCCATAAAAAACGACGTACAGTGACGTGCAGGCCTTCAGCATGCTTTACGATAACCACCCGATCCGCGTACGTAGCCGTCTCGATCCATGGATCTGAAGACACCAGTCGACCTGAAATAGAAGGACAAATCGAATAATAAAGAAAAAATTGCGGCGAGCGTGGTGTAGTGACATGTGGCACGTGAACCATGCCCGTTCCGGGGTAAAAAACGAGCAGGCTCGCGCCCAGGCCATCCAAGCCTGCTACTCTTGGGCGATTTTCTGAGATTTTCTAGGAATGAGACGAGAATGTAGTCGATGGTTCGATTCTTCATGGTAACGAGATTTTGCATTTCTCGTTTTTCATCTTTGATATATTTAAAATGTCTGACTTTTTGTCAGAACAAGCAAAAAACAAAAGCAGACATTCAATATGCCGCTCCATGTTCATCAGTGGCCAATTTCTTATGGGGCTTTTGCACGTCATGTCTGCTAGTCTGCACCTCCTTACTGAGACAGCCTGACTCTAACATGGAGTCCGATTTCAGGTATGCCACCTTCTCACTACGCCCTTTTCCTCAGACAATGTAGCGGGCCTTTGCTGCGTCAGAATATGCCATACTCTCGCTGCATTCTCCCACCTGGACAGCATGGTCTGGATTCGTCGCGGCGGAACATGAGATCAAACCCTGCTGTGGAGAGGGTTTTGTTTTCCGAAAAAAATAGGTTTACTTCTGTATTCCATGCACATGCGTGCCCCCTGGAACGCATTAGGACGACTCAGGAACAGGAACCTTCTACCTTTGAAAGACGTTTCTTGGCTTTCAGTAGTGACTCGGCTGATCCTCAGGCGAAGGAGGGCAAGCTATGAAAAAGTTTTCCTGAATATATGTCTAAGATGAAAGCTAAAGCTTTCACCGTTGATCATTCCATTTTTGGAATGCAGCATCCACTTTCATTCGCACTCGTAGTGGCTCACTGAATTTGATATGGTCTACACATAAAATTACTTGTGAGGCCAGTCAAAGTAGAAATCAGCGTTTCTGTCTTCCCAGCTCAATCTACTGAGCTACCGTCCCCGGAGGGTGAAGGAGTTGGTTGGCCTGGGTGGAAGCCAATTCAGTATTTGGCTCCGAACTGCGGGCCTCGCAATATACTATGCACTTCCTTCACTGCCGCAGAGAGTACTAACATGGAATTTGGGCTTACCCATGTCGAAATTTAACGTCTGCTCGTTACTGCTGTTGAACACTACGTAATTGGCATCGATTGCTGAGTAATAAATCTGCTCCAAACAATTGGTGAAGTATACATTCTGAAACGACTTCCACATTCGTAGTGATTTCTGATGACGATAACCCCTTTAAATTGTCTCGCACAAGCTACTGGATGCACAGCTAATCATTCCCCCCCTCTCCGAAAAGGAAAGTACCATGTGACCTATACCCGATTAGCTTGGGTGAGGAATGACGCGGTTAGTTCCAGTGACACCTGGTGGAAGTGTAGCAGCTCGTCACGGTTCCGTTTCGGCTCCCCGACGCCAGCTATAGGAAAAAGGCTTACATGGGCATGGCGCAGCTTGATTGCACCTCGTCTGATGTTCCACTGATCGTTGTGGAATCGGAACCATCCAAGCTTTTCCAGTGAAGACTCTCCAACATCATTCAATTCAATATCGCCGTACACATTTGAGTCACCTGCAAGAATAGGAGAAACAATTGTGCTTTGGTAAGCATCAGTAATGACCGTAATGGTAACTAGATGTTGACAACGGGAAACCGTTGCACTTGCTGTCCTCTCCAGAGCAGGGAGGATTACTATGTGGCAGTTCAAAAATATGTGAGGAAAGCGCGAGCCTCTGCTACGGTGAAGCTCCACTGGCTCACTGTGTTTTCATCGAGAGGATTATATTCGGTTGGTGTAGTTTTTGTTTTGATATTCGAGGTAGCAGCTCTTCACGTCCCGTCCCCCGTCCCCCTCTTACGTCTGAGAGTGTGACTGATACAGATCGACGCAGCGTTGTGGTTTCTTTTCATGATTACGACCTTGAGCTGTCCGAGTACAATGGGTAGGGGGGCGCGAACAGTCGAAAATCATTCGTGAATCTTCGAAAATCCGCGGGGGAAAGACACAACCATGACTGTCTCCTCATTCTTAATCTACCCTGTTCCGAATTTTCATCTGCGCAACTCTCCCTAACAACTCTTTCCCGTAGTTATTCCCAAGGGATTTATCTCCAAAATTTTCTTTTAGACTCTTTTTTTTCCCCAAAACTTTTGTCTAAGAGGGCGGAGGGGTGGGGAGGATTTTAAGGCAGCATTGTAATAAACAGGAAAAATACCGCGTTAGAGCTGGATACAATGCGTGAAGAATGTTTCTCCTGGTGCAATAGGCCCGCAAAATCTCCTGGTCCAAGAAGCTACGATATTAAGGCTCGTTACCTATGTCCGAACAAGCCAGAGACGTGCCTCGTTCGCCCCTCCGTAGAGGGTCCGTGGAACTCGATGAACACGTAAACAAAAAATAGTCCGCCAAGATCTAATATAAGACGCAGTATAGGGGTATAAAGCCCCTTGTGTTGGGAATGCAGCCAACTGATGAAGGCGCTATGCTTTTCATTTTTTACCCCGTCGAACCTGTTACCGTCTGCACTAACAAAGGTGAATGACCGGAGCGGTGGCCCTTCGTTGCCGATCATGCCAGGATAAACAGTGCAGAGCGCGATTTCAGCAATGTGGGCCCTAATAATAAGAGGACGTTTTCAGCCGGGTTATTCCGGCAGGCTTTTTTCTTCCACTGTATCTGAGAACCATGTCTTACTAACGTTGTCAATAGTTACTCTGAGTCCGTAAATAACTCATGCATTTTGCGAAGGCGTGACCCTTCAAAAGTTGATAGATTAGTGGTAAGGTGTTAATAGAGTAAATGCTGCCCATACCTATGTGTTCAACAGTAGTACACTTCCAGGCGGGCATTTCTCGGAGAAGCACGGGCTAGGCTTGTGACTTCGGAGACTGCAGTTTTGTGGCGTTTGTGATGAAAATCCAGGCTGAGTTAATCCCTGGTGTCAACGAGAGAACCGGATCGAACTTCCTGCAAAACCGAAACGAGTAAGCCTTTCTGCGTGAGGGTTCATGGAACCGCGAAAGTATTGTGATGAACGGCGAGATAATCGAGGGTGGCGCAGGGAAGTGTTTTTTAATAATAGTGGAAAAATTTCCTGGTTCATAGGTTACTGTCGCAGAAACGTTGGCCGCCGGTGTAGCAGCAGATACTCGATTTACACCTAAAGTCACTCAATTGATACAACCGCACTATCTATATGGTTGCACTGAAAGGTAATCCCATATGATATAGCGTCATGGATCAATTTGGATTGATGGCCATATATTAAATTGATGAAATGTTAGCTAAAACCACTACCTGAATACGGCTAACGTTTCGGGTTGACCAAGTTTGACGGCTGTAAAACTCCGATTTCCATATGAATCAATACGAATTTCACAGCATTGTTCACTTCTTTCGTTACTCCCACAACCAGTACCATGATGCGTTGACTGATAGGTTCGATAGCAGAGCAAGCCTACGTAGCACTTCCTGCAAAGTGTGCCAAATAACGGCGCAGTGGCGTAAAGTAAAATTTCACCTGTAGCTATAGTCGTGGATAGTGCATCTATGAGTTCTATCGGAACATCCGCAGAAGCACGAGGTACTTATCAAAGGGATAGCAAACTTGTACGCTCCTGGAATCACAGGGGTCAAGTATCAACAGCAAGAGGAAGTTCCTTCACAGGATAAAACTCGATCAAAGAGGTGGGCTTGATCGGAGCAACCTGAATATGCTGCCTTGCGGGAGCTGGAATATGGTAATCGAGCGGTATCTTTTCGCTCGTTAGTCGCCCATACGGAAAAGTACACGGAATGAATTGAACTAAGTAAAGAGGATATAGACCGGTAAAATGATCGTCGTTGGTTAATCCTTTTTCTGGGAAGCGGCACGCATCCTATCCCATTTGAATCGTAGTGGCTTATTGAAGGATATGGCCTATACAATGACTTGCGGGGGCCAGCCGATGTACAAGTCAGTGTTTATCCTCCCAGACGAATCTGGTACCAATTTACCGTCCCCGGGGATAGAAGGCTTGCTTGACCTGTACGGAGCCGATCCAGGATTTGATCCCCAAACTGGACGCGTGGTAAACGTCTCCCTTGTCACTACACTGCCTCTGTATCAACCAATCAAAACCAAGGATATACACTCTAGTTCGCTGCGGACGGTTGGGCGTGTCAGGCAGTATGAGTGTGTCACCCCGTCAAAGCCGTTCTCTGCCTTCTTGTTGAAGCGCGCGACAAAAAGTGGTAGAAAAAGTAATACGAACGATATGATACAGTCATATCATTTGCTCGCTTTAACAACTGGTGGAGAACGGGTTTGGCACCGCGCCAAACTCATCCCGCCTGACACGCCCAACCGTCCGCAGCGAACTATACTATAGCACAACAACGACCCCCAACAAGTGAAGGTGTACAGCTTTGTATTCACTAGGCTGACCAAGGGTAATCGGTAAGGCCACGAGAGATAGGGCGGCCACTAGTACAGCTTCATTGGTTTGATGAGGGAGTGGATGGCGTTAATGATAAGATCACACTACAGATTCAGGTCAGG